CCGACTGGGGTGCTGGGAGGGGCAGTGCAACTCTGGGCTTTTTATAGGTGTTGGCAAGGCCTCGGGGTGATTAATGACTCTAATTGCTGTTAGCACTGAGACCTGTCCCAGTCCTCCTGGGCTCGGGGGATGGGGATGCATGAATGTAGTAGGGGAGGTTTGGGTGCTCTCGGCCGCTCTCCCAGACCCAGCATAGTGCTGACAAAGCCTCCCACTCCTCCCTCCAGCTGCTCCCCTGGCATCACACGGGTCACGGTGGTCCTGCCAATGTCTGCCAGTGCAGTGGTCTGCCTGGGCACTGAGGGCGGCGCCGTGTACTTCCTCACCCTGCCCACCCTGACACTGCTGGAGGACAAAACCCTCTTCCCGGATGAAATCCTGCAGAGGTGAGAGACCTGCATGCCCCATGCCCCCTCCTCACCACCTCCAGCCCCCTCTGACCCTACTATGTGTCTCCCCATAGTGTCCCCGATGACTACCGCTGCGGGAAGGCATTGGGGCCTGTGGAATCCATCCAGGAGCACCCACGTGATGGCAGCCAAATCCTCATCGGGTACAGCCGGGGATTGGTGGTCCTCTGGGAGCAGAGCACACGTGTCGTCCAGCACCTCTTCCTGGGGAACCAGGTACCAGGGCTGGCAGGGGGCTGGCAGGATCATGACCTCGTGTGTGTGCCCATGCGGGTGCTGAGCCGCCTGTGTACCCCTGCAGCAGCTGGAGAGCCTGGCCTGGGAGCAGAGCGGGAAGACTATCGTCAGCTCCCACAGTGACGGCGGCTACATGGTGTGGGCAGTCCCCAGGGGCCCCAGCAGCCGGTCATGTCCACCATCCCCTACGGTACGGAGTGGAGGTCTGGGGGGTGCTGGGGTTGGGGACTGATCCTCCCATCCTGGTACTGCAGGGTTGGTGTCTGCGTTTCAGGTCCGTTCCCTTGCAAAGCCATCAGCAAAATCCTCTGGCGCACCTGCGAGTCAGGGTATGTGCACACGCCACAACCAGGGTGGGCTGGAGATGGGCATGGGGGGATATGGGGGCCAGGGGTCTGATGGAGACTGCTTCATCCCACCCAGGAACCACTTCATCATCTTCAGTGGGGGGATGCCACGGGCCAGCTACGGCGATGTCAGCGTGCTGCAGGGCCAGACCCTGGCCACACTCGACTTCACCTCCCGTGTCATCGACTTCTTCACGGTGCAGAGTGCTGAGGTGCCTGAGGGAGGTATGTCCCACCAGGGTGGCTCCAGGGAGCAGGTTGGGGGTCAGTGTCTCTGCTTGCAGCAGCCGTCTCCCCTCTCCCCAGGCTTTGAGAACCCCC